CTACTGTACATCTTTATTTACTGCACACCTTCTGGTTCCATGGGGCTATCTTTTTAAATCAAGTATTGCAACATTTAACTGTGCAAATATTTGAATTTTTTTAAATCAGATAACAAAAGCAACAACAACAATAGCAATACCACTACAAGCAACACAATACAGCCAAAACTGGATGGTACAAAAATATACATATTTGCATTCCATGCACCAGAGAGGGGACAAAGGAAGTGATGCTCGCAGAAAATAATTTTTAAAAATCCATTTAATTAAAAATGTGTTAGGAATTATATCTCAGAATATCACTGTCTCCTAAAGTCTCCTTCTGAATAAGGATCCACAGCATAAAGAAAAGAGTTGCAGAAAGAAAATTGAAAGCCCTAAATCAAGGTGCAAGGGAATAGAATCTGGTTTCCTACCCAGCTAGCTCTCAGCCCCCCCACTCATTCTGCACTGAAACTTTACAACCATAGATCCTTCTTAAGGATTTCCCTTCCCACTGGATCAAACGAAATAGCCGATGGGGACTACATTTACATCAAATTATACTGTCCCAGCCCAACATACCAAGAACATAATTGCAACTACAGCACAAAATGATTTACAGTGAAGTGAAATCATTATTTTATTATCAGTCTCTATTGAGTCTACCCTATTGGTAGGGTTTCTGGTTTTGTTTATATGGTGAGAAAAGTTGAGGACTTCTTTAGAGGAGGGAGAAAAAGGAACTGAGGTAGAGTTTTTGTTTTTAGTGCCTTGCTAACTCATTCCTTCAGTGGGGAAGTTTGGGAGATCATGCCTTGCTTTTAACTCTCATAATCCAATTTGATATAGTCATAGTTAAATGACTAGAGAGAAAATCATGGTTAAATGTATGAATGAATTTTTCAGATTTAGTTATTTTTTTAGGTTTGTCCCTTCCATTAGCAGAAATATAAGGCTACAACAATATCCTCTGAAAGGAACACATACATTTAAGTATATATTTCTTTTAAAACAAATAATGTACAAAGTAATGAGATTTTTTTAAAAGAAGTAAATGAATACTAGTTTGTCACTTTTTTAAAAATCATGTTTGAAACTCTAGATATATGCATAATATATGTAACAGTTGAGACAATCCAAGGTTTCTCCTTCGTGGCCTCTGTGAATACACACTAATGGGTTAATCTGCGCTGGAGCAGAGGATTTTCAGAAACTTCCACAGCTTTAAGCACTTAGTGCCAGGACCTCCCCTACACCGGCTATATAACTCTGCCCCCGGCACCCAGTGCCTCAGTTCTTTTTTTGACCGCCACTGTAGCAGCAGCTTTGTTCGGAACTTCACAAATCAAAAAAATTTCTATTCCTTTCCTTTCTTTGACCTCCCCTTGTTCTTTCTTTGTTAACAAGTTGTTTATTCTGCCTTGGGGAAGAGCACTAGGTTTGCAAATCCAGCTTTGGAGCCCTCAGAGCTTTTCTCTTAAAGAAAGAAGGCCTCTTTTACCTTCTTAGCAAGGTTACCCCCAGGCTCAAGAGCAACAGCTATCCACCTGTTTGCAATCTTCCTCTTCATGTCAAAAAAGAAGAGGACTACATCTGAACTAACTCTGCAGAGAGCTGGGCGCCAGCAGCCCTAGCTTGCCCTTGGAAGAAGAAAGATGGTGTAGGGCTTTTTAGTCAGAAAACTGTGGTTATTCTTGATAACCTGCTCAAGCTCCAGAAGGTGTCACGGTCTTTTGCAGTGTAACAGCCACAAGTACCTGGAGATATTCCTACCAGCATAGGGCATCCCAGGAACATCAAAAGCCTCAACCCCAAAGTTACCAGCCGCCACCCCCTGGGCAGGCAGCACCCTGACCAACAGAACCACAGGCAGGACTGCAAAACTGAGCAGTCTTTTTACTGCACCTGACTTCTCTGTCATTGGCCAATCAGTCCGTTTCACCCCTTGTCTTTCCGATTGGTGTTCCTTCATGTCTAACACTTCAGTACTCTCTATCATAGCTACCACTGATGCAACTGAATCCGTTATATCCCCGTCACACGCCAAGCTATGGCCACCCCAACCTCCTCCAAAAAGGATGGAGGCCTCTGGCCCATCCTTGATTTTGGAGGCCTGAATTCTTTTGTTACTCTATGTAGTTTCCGTACGGCTTCCTTGGACTCCGTTATTCACATGTTATGTCCAGAGAGTTGGTTTACCGTAAGATGCTCACTTTCATGCTGGTATCCAGTCAGATCATCAATGCTTTATCAGGGTTTCAGTTGGAGGAATCACTGTCTCTTTTGTCAGTGTTAGGACTAAAAGTCAACACAGAGAAGTTGACTTTGCAACCTGCACAATGTATAAATTGTATTAATGCGACTTTGGATAGTTTCTTGAAACAGTTTTTTTCCCCTGACAACAAGTCTGTGAAAATGCATGGTTTGTTATGCTCCTTTTCTTCAGGTGCTTAGTTCCCTGTCCTATAGGTCCAGTGACTCCTGGAGCTGATGGCATCTACCACAGCTTTGGGACAGCATGCTCGACTGAGAATGAGGTCTCTTCAAATCTGGTTTCTCTCACTTTTTCAGATATCTTGCAACCACCCATCCATGTTACTCCAGGTGACTCCAGAACTCACTGCACAACTGGACTGGTGGAGATCTCCCCCCAACCTATGGATAGGGAGACCCTTTGGCCTCTTGACCTGGTTGGTTGAGTCAGTGGTGGATGCCAGCTCGCCAGGCTGGTGGGGGGCTCGGCTACACCACCATGTTGCCCTTTGCCACTGGTCCACGATAGTAGCTGGACTACATATCATTGTGCTGGACCTCCTGGCAATCACCAAGGCCTTTCGGGCCTCTGAGCCCATACTCTGGGATTGGGTGTTCCAGGTCGCATCAGACAATACCACTGCAGTTTATTATATAAACAAGCAGGGCGGCACTCACTTGTTACACCTTCTCTTTCACACCATTGACCTTTCGGAATGGTGTTATGCTCACCACATTTATCCAGTGGCTGTACATTTGGCAGGTGAGAACAATTCCGTAGTAGGCCATCTCAGCAGACTACAGCCCTGCTCTCACAAGCAGGCTCTTGACGCCGCCATCTTTTGTTGCCTCTGTTGTTTATGGGAGATTCCAGACACAGACGTTTTCGCATCCCGGATGAACAAGATGTGTGCCATGTTCTGCTCCCAAACTGGCATCAGCTGAAACTCCCTAGGGAATGCTTTCCTGATTAATTGGTCACGGGTCCTCCGTTACAGGTTTCCACCTTTCCCCCTTCTTCAAAGGACTGTTGTTTGAGTCCAACATGAGTGCACAAATGTCATGCTTGGTCGCCTCACTAGCCATGGTTCTCGATCCTGCTCCCGTGAGCCGCAGAATACATCAGGCTGCAGCTAGTCCCTCACCTACTATCTCGGGACAAAGGTTGGACATTTCATCGGGACCTCAAGTCCCTCTACCTGTCAGCTTGGAGTCTTTCCTGACATTAACAGACGTGCTCAGTCATGCTCACAAACCTTCTACCACCTTGACCTACTCCTTTAATGGGTAGGTGTTCTGTCACTTTGCATCAAGATGACATTTGCCTACTAGGCCAATTTATCTGGACGCATTCCTTCAGTTTCTCCTTCACCTGTTTTGCCTGGGACTGGACCGTTTTACCTGCAAGCTATTTCTCTGAGGCCTGGAGAATATGTGCCCTGCCTATAGACCACTAACACCTCAGTGGTCTCTCCAATTAATTCTTCGGTGGCTTATGAGGCCTCCCCTCAAGCCCTTGGCATCAGTATCACTCCGCTTGCCAAACCTCAAGACTGGCTTTCTCCTGGTGATATCCTTAAGCTTGGAGGACTGGCTACACTAAGAACAGGTCCTCCTTTCTGCAAAGTAACCTTATGGCCAGACCTTACCTTCCTGCCTAAGGTATTTTCTGCCTTCAATTTGAACCAGCCAGCTGTCCTTCTTGTCTTCTTTCCCACACCATCTTCACCGCTTGAGACAGCTCTGCACGCTCTAGACATGAAACGTGCTCCGTCATATTATGTGCATCGCACAACCACTTTTCGTGCCTCACAACATCACTTCGTCACCTTTGCTGGCTCCTCCTTTGGAGCACCAGCTTCCTCTCAGGCCATCTCTAGATGGATAGTCCAGACCATCCGTCTTCTCTATGATTTGGCAGAGACTCCTCTTCCAAAATCAGGGAGAGCTCACTCTAATAAAGTTGTAAAATCCTCAACGGCCTTTCTCCATGGAGTGGACATTGTGAATGTCTGCCACGTGGAGACATGTGCCACTCCATCTATCTTTATCTCACACTACTGCCTGGATGTCCGGCCAAAGGCTCAGGCTGCGGTAGGTCAAGCTGCCATGGCTTCTGCACTTTCGTGACATCCCTCCTCCTGGTTAGTCAGCTTGCCAGTCACCCATTAGTGTGTATTCACAGAGGCCATGAAGGAGAAAGAAGTTACTTACCTGTAACATTGGTTCGAGTGGTCCTCTGTGAATTCACACATCCTGTCCTCCTCCCCGCTGTCTGTCACATGTGCCATGGCATGCTGGACAGAGGCGGTCAGTTTCTTAGGACTGAGGCACTGGGTGCTAGGGGCAGAGTTATATAGCCAGGTGTAGGGGAGGTCCTGGCACCAAGTGCTTAAAGCTGTGAAAGTTTCTGAAACTGCTCTGCTCAAGCGCAGATTAACACAGAGGACTACTCGAGGAACCAGAGTTACAGGTAAGTAACTACTCTTTTTCATTGAAAATTACTGCCATGTAACTGACTGTACAGTTGCAATTTTTTAAGTAAATGTTTAGGACTGAAGTGAAAATGCATTTAATGCTTGCTTTCTTGTTTGCTTCTGAAATACATATCTTGCAAGAATTAATACTATATAACGTTTAATGGTAGACATGAAAATCGTGCCCAAATGCTTTCTGCAAAATACTCATGTGTGGAGTTAGACACATCTTTAGTTATTCTGGTAAAAGCAACTATACATAGATTGAAAAATCTTATTTTGCTGCAGAGGCCTGATTGCCAGTTCAGGTGGGCCAGTAAGAGTGCAAATGTTACCAGGACGAGAGAACTATCCTGCAATATATGCTAATGGAGTCCAGTCTCAAGTGCTCTCTAGATGGTCATCATCATTCTCAGTATCCAGTAAGTGAATGACAAAGTCTTACCAATTTAGTAAATGATGATGAAATTATCAGTACAGAATAAAAGTGAAGTTGATGTGTATTCCATTTTTTCTGGCTTTATTTCCTATTTGTCTTACTAGCAACATGCCAAACTATGCCTCTTCATATATTTGATGGAGAATTTCAGGCAAGCGTAGGAAAAAAATAAATCAAAGATTAGTTAAATAATGCACTACCAAGAAAAGGTTTGCCTTTTTAAAGTTGCATGAAGTGAACATGCATGCAAGAATATGTGCAACTGTCAAAACATTGGCTGTTGGATTATTTTTACTCAAAGGATGCCATGAGCAACAGCAATTACACATAGTCTAATTGCTGTTCAGAAGTACCAGTGTAGCTAACATTCTACTGCATAAGCCACAAGATGAGAGAGAGATCTTTATAAATATGTTTATGAAATGTTTGAGACACTGAATAACTAACTCGGTGGAAGATCATTCTATAGGTCAAATTATATGCCATAGATAACCCTTAGGTAGAAACTGAAACCATTTAATATTCCAGAGACTGATTCAGATTTTTGTGACTGATGTGTAACATATAGTTTGGGTCTCTGTCTCAGTGCTTATATTCGTGTAGGGCACTTGTTCATTATAACACTGAAATGGAAGTACAAAGTGATGATTCACACGCGGTGCATCTCTTGAAAGTGTGGACAGGCAAAGAGAACTCTCTGTGTGTCTCTTTTTCTACGCATTAAACAAAGTCAGTAAAACATTTACCGATTTCTATAGTTAAATGATCTCTGCACAGTATCAGGACACCCTCAGTGGCAAAAGAAGATATCATTTCTGGCTTAGAGAAGTCAGTTCTGAGTGAGCAAGGCAAATGAACCAGTTTTCATAACCACCTGAAAGTTACAGAACAGAATGGAGAGATGACTTTTTAAAACAAGTGTGTTTTTCCATCTTTTCCATCTTTTGTATAGGAAGTTGTAAATATTGGCAATGTACTCATTTGGTTTTCTGCTCTCTGCAGTTTTCTGTACTTCTGAAATCATAATACTGTACTATGAAGTGAAAGGGGTAGGAAGTGAAGGAAAACAAGCCCTTCCAGAAAGTAGATCCAACACCTTCAAGTTTCAGTCTGTTTGCAACTTCTGTTACAAGATGAAAGTATACACATAGAATGTATTTTATCACAACATTTATTGTAATGAAATAATGTTTCCCCTCCCCCCAATATGGTAATAGGTATCCAAAGTGGAGCACTTGAAGCAGCAGGGCGGCCAGTTTCAACAGCACGCCCATCCACGGGTGAGAAGGTTCTATCAATATATATTTTTCTTGTTAGGAGTTTCTTAGAAATAAGCTGTCTCTATGTTTATTCTATTGTTTCTATATAATACATCTTCCACGCTGTATCACATGTACAAAGAAGCACATAGGGAGCTCTGTGTGAAGAGAAGGATCCCACTAATTTTCAAGACCTGAAAGAATTGTTCAGGTCATAATTTTATAATGTAGAAAAGTCTGGAAACGAGGGCCCTTCAGATGTGTGAAACTTCAGTTCCAATTGTACTATTTCCACTGCCATTATGACAACTAAGTTATGAAGCTCACTTGATTATTTTTAGCATAGCATGGTTTACATATTCATTATGAGGATAAATGGGGGAAAAAAAACCATGTATGTCACCAAACCCCTAAAAGAAAGATGAGATGCAACCTAGCTCTCAGTAGTTCCAATTAGATTCACTTCATGCCACATTATTGTACAGCTTACTTAGCTGTAAATAATTAATTATGTTTTGTACTTTTTAGGTAAAAGACTTAAGAAACCTCTTGAGAAAAAAGCAGGGAACAAAGGTAGGAGACAGCGAAGGCCATGCTACATGAAACAAATCTCTTGTGTTAATTTGACTTTTAATTTAATGTTAACTGTCTTGTGTGTTCATAGACTGTAAAGCAGATATTGCTTTTCTGATTGATGGAAGCTACAGTATTGGGCAGCGTAGATTTAATCTGCAGAAGAACTTTGTTGGGAAAATAGCAACGATGCTGGGCATTGGAACGGAAGGACCACATGTGGGAGTTGTACAAGCCAGGTACCAGAAATACATCCTATTTGGTGCATCACTCTTTCTTGAGTGCTTTAAAGCAGGCATCATTCAATTAAGACCTTTTCTTAATCTACATATTTGCTCTCATTGTTCGGTTCACCTAAGTCAATAGGATAGTAGTAGCCATTTACTGTCATTAATCCTCCAAATTTGTTGGTCTGCATCATATTGTTTCAGCAGTCTGTTTGTCTTTAATATGCTGTCTTTCTCTCCATAGGGGACTCCAGGTTGCTCACAATCAATTAAAATGATTGTAGTAATCACACCATTAAAACACCATAAGAAACAACACTAAAAAATTAAACAAATAATAATATTTATTAAAACCACAATTAAAAACAATTTTAAAAACATTTATAAATATCTATATTAAATAGATGTACCATTACTAAAAAACCATTTATTTCTTGAAAGCCTGCCTGTAAAGGAAAGTCTTTGCCTGATAATGAGGCAAAGAGAGAATGAGGACAACCTGGTTTCTCAAAGATGTGTATTCCAAAACTTGGGAGCAGCCACAGAGAAGGCTCTTATTTTTTCACCAAGTGATCCTGTGAGAACAGTGGGACTGAAAGAAGGTCTTGTCGTGGAGATCTTAAAAGTCAAGGAAACTCCTTTGAGGTGATACAGTTCTTCAGATAGTCTGGACCCTAGCCTTATAAGGGTTTCTTAGGTCATAACCAATGCTTCAGTTTCCTCCTGGAAACAGATTGGCAGCCAGCAAAGCTATTGTAATAAGGGAGTTACATGATCTCTGTAACCAACACTGCAGTAATCTGGCTGCAGCATTTTGAACCAACTGGTTTCAGAAAGTCAAGCCCATGTAGTGCACACTGCAGTAATCCAGATGAACAATAACTAAGGTGTGTGTCATGGTGGCCAGATCAGACATCCTCAGGAATAGTTGCAGCTTGTACACCAGCTATAATTGTGTTAATGCACTTCTGGCCACCACTGAAATCTGTGCATCCAGGGTCAGGGCTGAACCAGGAGCAAATCCAAACTTGACTGTTCAGGCAGACTGTCAATCCATACACTACAGGCTGAATCCTGTAGGTTATCATGTGGCTTGCAATCACAAATAGATCTGATGTTCATGTTTATATCCTAACATTATTTTGCCCCTTCATGGATTGCTGCCTCATTGTGGCAAAGGCACCTGAGTAATTCAGAGAAGCTATGGGCTATGCTATGCAGGGATACCCAAGACAGACAGGTCATATTGGAGAGTTCTGACTGAATGCGATCCACCTGGAGCAGGAACTGGCAAGCCACTCCAGTATCTTTGCCAAGAAAACCCCATGAACAGAAATAAAAGGCTAAAAGATATGACACTGGAAGTTGAGCCCCTCAGGTCGGAAGGCCTCCAACATGCTACTGAGGAAGAGTGGAGGACAACTACAAGTAGCTCCAGAGCTAATGAAGTGGTTGGACCAAAGCTGAAAGGACGCTCAGGTGTGGACATGCCTGGAGGTGAAAGAAAAGTCTGATGCTGCAAAGAAAAATACTGCATAGGAACCTGGAATGTAAGATCTATGAACCTTGGTAACATCAGAGGACGAGATGGTTGGACAGTGTCATCGAAGCTACCAATATGAATTTGACCCAACTCCAGGAAACAGTGAAAGACAGGGGGGCCTGGCATGCTCTAGTCCAGTGGTTCTTAACCTTTTTGAAAGAAACGCCCCCTTGAGCCATTGAGGAAGTTATCATCGCCCCCCTCCCCACGGTGATATGAAATCGCCCCCTGGGGGGCATTATCGCCCACGTTAAGAACCACTGCTCTAGTCCATGGGATCACGAAGAATCAGACATGACTTAACGACTAAACAACAACAAACATTATTTTATTAGAGCAAACAGGCTGGAGACTTCAGCGTGGAGAATGTACTGTTGGGCTATTTGTAAGGGCCTGAGCCAGAGAATAATAATCATGTGAGAAAGGAAAGGTCAGTGTAGTTTGTTGACGTCATATTCCTCATCACTTCATAGCCTACCTGGTCTTCCTTAAGCTTTTTGCAATGCTGCTAATGTGCTTCCTAACTTTTTTCCCATTTTTTAAAAATGTATCTTGAAACCTTAAGTTTTTACAAGGCCAAAATCTGCAAAACAAACAAGCAAACACCATGTTTTGGCCTTGTAAACAGAGGGTATAGAAAATTGTGGTTTATATTGCATTATTCTCTTCTCTTTTCTTCTTACAATTCAGGAACCCACTTTAGCTAGATGTTGTAGATATATAGTGTACACAAGTGGACAGTGCCTTTTTTCAATGACCTCATTGCTTAGTCATACTCTCTTCCACAATAGCATCCACCTTTCCACAATAGTCAATAAGCATTTCATGACCACAGAGTATGCTGAACCCTTGATGGAGTTTTTTAGGACTATTACTATCCCATTCCTTTTCTTCTCAAATAATTTCTATGAGCTTGTTGGTACAGTCCCATGTGTGTTGTTGATGCTCTTTCAGCTGCATAAACATTCATGCTCAACTTTGTAAATACGTAGAATGAATTAAGGATAGCTAGCCAGCACCATGACATAGTGAAACATGGTTGTTTCAGTTATGTGATTATCATGAACATTGAAGGGTTATATTTCCTTCTAATATATTATTCAATATAATGGACACTCTGAAAGGCTTGGAGTAAATTTCAGCATATAAAGCTCTGTTATGCCTTTGTGTAACTTCATTATATCCTATATTTCCCCCAAATCATGAGCCCAGAAAGCTCACAAAATGCTGGCATGGAGGGAATGATGGATAAATAAAGCAGAATATTTAAAATGCTTTGAAACTTATAATAATAATGAAAGACCATTAAACTTAAGAGCAGAAATAAAAAATAATAATTTAAAAGAAGTAGTGCAGTACCCTGTTTAACATTCTGTCTGCAACCCAGTCAGCAGGCAAAAGCCTGACTGAAGAGAAAGATCTTTGCTGATGGAAGAACAAGAGGGAGGGGGGCAGCCTAGCCACCAGTGGAAAAACATTCCAAAGCCTGGGAGCATCCCATGGGGAAGGCTGTCTCTGAAGTTCTTATTATGCATTTTAAAGCATTTTAAATATTCTACTTTATTTATCTTGTGAGGGCAAGAGTATTGAGAGAAGAGCTTCCCCTGAAGACCTCAAAACCTGGAGAGCCTCATATGGTCCTTCAAATAACCTAGACCTAAGCCATGAAAGGCTTTATAGGTCACAATCAGTACCATTGTAGTGGCCCAGAAATGGCTCAGCAGTCAATGTAATTGAAATAACAGGGGACCTATATGTTCTATAAAGAAGTGCTGAAGCGCATAAAACCACACATGTCACTGGAAGGCAAAATAACAAAACTTAGACTTAGTTATTTCGGCCATCTCATGTGATCAACATCATTGGAGAAAGATGTTATGTTCAGAATGGTCAGTGATAAAAGATGACGAGGATGCCAAAGAACATGTTGGTTGGATGTAATCAAAGCAGACATCTAGCCAAAATATAAAGAAGCTCAAAGAAGCTGTACAAGATTGGAAATAATCTTAATAAGATTGGAAATAATCATGAAATTGCCAAGGGTCAGATATGGCTGAATGGATAATTTGATTTAATATGTTCTGTATTCCATATAATGGTTCTGAATAAGTCCAATGTGAATAAGCAGATTTTTTTTTAACAGACAGAGGTCATAAAATCTGCCTTATACCAGGTCAGTCTATTTTGACTTTAATAATAATCATGCACCATCAAGTCAATTCTGACTTACCATGATACCTTTTTCTCTCAGGGTTTTCTAGGCAGAGAATACTCAGAAGAGGTTTATCATTCCCTTCTTCTGGGGACACCCTGGGACTTTGCAGCTTGCCCAAGGCTTTCTCTCTGCAGGCACAATGGGGAAATCTAACTTTCAACCTCTAACTCGCTGAGTTGTACCTACTGTTTAATCTCTCTTTTGCTAGAGAAGCCTGAACCTGTCTGTATGCAGAGCATGTGCTCAGCGATTGAGCTGTGGTCTCCTTCCCAGTTTGAAAACCATACACCTATTTAGCCTGCATAATTAACTTGTAAACCGCCTAGAGTGCTTGAAGCGCTATGGGGCGGTATATAAGCAGCATGTTTTGCTTTGCTTTTTATTGAGCGTTTTTCATTCAGATCCCAACATCTGGTCTTGTGTGAAGGGCAAATCTCCAGCACTGTAACTTCTCTGGCAGTTATTTCTGGGCTAAAGGAAGAGTAAAAGCCTATAAATCTTTTTTCCCCTTCTCTAAAAGTTGAACCATATGTGAGATTCCAAAGTAGAGGTTTTTTCCCTGCCACTTTCCTCAACATTTTTATTAAATTATGAACTCTACTATATTCAGTACTTGTCAACAGAACAATGTTGGTTACAGTGTAAACGAAAAGAAAGAATAAGCACATCATGACCATGAGTTATCACATAAGCATTTCAGCCACAAAAGGATTGTTCCAATTATATTTGTTGACTGCACTAGCACCATTAGTGTTTCATCCAAGGGTATTAGTGTCATCTGGTCTCCAAAGTTCTTCAGAAAACTCTTGCAGTGCCAAGAAAATCTTTTGTTTTGAAAGGCTGACCATGATGGAAAAACACTTAAAAGAGATTAAGGCAGGGCTGGACTTAAACTGAAAATAGCACTCCTAGATTTAGTTGAGTCGTGTCCTTTGTTATACAGCCAATAATACAGTCATTCTACTTCTGGTAGTGCAGGTGGAGGGGGGGAGTAAGAGATCACAACAGGTGTTGGGAAACAGTTTATTCCAGTGAGCCCAATGCATTTTGAGTGGAATTATTTCTTTGGTGCATCCATGACAGACATACTAACAAACAGAAATTCATAATAAAGAACTTAAAAATACATCCTGTGAAAATAACTTTGCATTATATTTCATAGTCACGTTTATATTAGATGGCTGCTTTTATAACTGCATGGAAAAGAGCACATTTGGCTGAGGGGCTAATAATGCATTGCGCAGAAATGCATGCACCAGAATTCAAACACCCCTTTTTAAAAAAATGAAACAGAAAAAAGAAAATATAACTGCTTCAAAGGAGCAGGTTGCTTGATTACAAGAGAATTTGAAGTGGAGATGCTGAGTGTGTGTGCATGTAATGTGTGTGTGTGAGAGAGAGAGACAGATAGAAAAATCTTGTTTATGTCTGTCAATTCTGCACTCCCAATTAGTATGTCAGTTGTCACTTCCATGTGGGATGTGGTGGCACTGTCATAAGATCGAATCCATGCAATAGAGTGAGCTCCCGTCGCTTGTCCCAGCTCCTGCCAACCTAGCAGTTTGAAAGCATGTAAAAATGCAAGTAGATAAGTAGGTACCATCGTAGTGGGAACATAACAGCAGTCCGTGTCTAGTTGCGCTGGCCACATGATCACAGCAACTGTCTATGGACAAACACTGGCTCTATGGCTTGGAGATGGGGATGAGCACCGCACCCTAGAGTTGGACACAACTGGACTAAATGTCAAGGGGAACCTTTACCTTTACCTGTCACTTCCATGGCATTCTTACCACTTGTAAAACACAGGAGACAACATAAACTGATGGTAAAATAGATTTTTAAAAGACTAATAGATTAAATTGTGTCACTGAAATGGCATAAATTTTAGAATTGCTTATTATAGCACAAATTTGTTCTGTTGTTGCTTTGTAGTGAGCATCCAAAAATTGAATTTTACCTGAAAAACTTCACTGCATCAAAAGATGTTTTATTTGCCATAAAAGAGATAGGTTTCAGAGGAGGCAATGCCAACACAGGTAAGCACAAGATCAGGCATGCAGAAGATAAGAATAGATTTTAGAATACAATTGGGCAAAGTCCAGCATGAAGTCCAGCATCTGCTCCCATGCTGCTCACCTTTCTTTTTCTTCCCATGGCAGTCTGGCTACTAAACATGCTCTAGAGTAGGGGTCCCCAATCCCCGGTCCATGGCCCGGTGTTAGTCCATGGCCTGGGCCACACCAGGCCGCCGAGACAGATCTCCCACCCACCCCTGCATGCACACACACACACACAGCCCCTTCACGCATGCGCCCAAGTGCGTGCATTCCAGTGTGATTGCCCCAACCCCTTTGCGCATGTGTGTAAGTGCCTTCAAGCACATCCCACCCTTTGTACATGAGTTTGCACGGGCCCACGCAAGGGCCCCACTCCTTTGCACATGCGTGACCGAGACAGATCTCCCACCCACCTCTGCATGCACACACACACACCCAGCCCCTTCACGCATGCGCCCAAGTGCGTGCATTCCAGTGTGATTGCCCCAACCCCTTTGCGCATGTGTGTAAGTGCCTTCAAGCACATCCCACCCTTTGTACATGAGTTTGCACGGGCCCACGCAAGGGCCCCACTCCTTTGCACATGCGTGCGAACATGGGGGTTGCCCTGCCTTCCCCAATCTGTCCGCAGTGTTAAAAAATTTGGGGACCACTGCTCTAGAGGGTGTCTCTGTAAAGGGAAAGGGAATAAACCCCTCTCTTAGTCATTCCATTGGTTGAAGAGTTTAATGGGACACAGGCCTTGATACCCAGCACTGAAGTGGTTGACAACCTAGACTTCATCTCTAAAAATGAAGGGTTTTATATAATTTGCTCTACTATTGAAATGAATTATCAGAAATGAATTATCACTGATCAAAATTCTTCAGTGCAGAAAACCACTAGCATAATTGCAGAAGGTCACCTCTATATGGGAATGGCCTTCATTTAGGAAAACACTCAAAGACAGTGGCATCATGACTGTCAGTGCTGTGGTTTAAATCCATGGACCCAATACCCAGCTATGTGCATGAGCCTTGCAGAAAGCTAAACAATAGAATTTCAAATAAGAGAAGAAACACAAGTTTTTAGAGGCAACTATACTTGTAACACCATTATTACCACCCTGCTGCTTGAAATGGTTGACTAATCTATGCAGTATAGGTAGGAATATCCCAATAGTTCTTGATACAAGCCCTGTTTTGCATCATACAGAACCATTCATTTTTCTATTAAATAGGATTAATTTGCTAATCTGTGACATATTTAGATGTAGATGTCGAACTAGACCAAGCTGTGCTTTCAGTAGATATAATATGATAATAATAACAAGATGATTTCCACTTCTCTCCATATCAGGAAAAGCCTTGAAGCACACATCCCAGAGGTTCTTCTCTGCAGAACATGGCGTACGGAAAGGCATTCCTAAAATCATTGTAGTTTTAATAGATGGATGGCCATCAGATGATATAGAAGAAGCTGGCATAGTGGCTCGAGAATTTGGTATTAATGTATTCATTGTGTCTGTTGCAAAACCTACAACTGAGGAACTCGGAATGGTTCAAGATGTTGGGTTCATTGAGAAGGTGACAAGGCAATTTTAATTTTTTTTTTCTGTTTTTTAAGGGGTTTAATTTTGTATCAAACTAAATTTCCAAATTGAGAAATCAGCACACTGCAAACATAGTTGTGGCCAAGATAACATTTTAAAAAAGGAATGTCTACTAAATGTTAGCAAAAGTTAAATCACAATACAATGTTGGCATGCAGTGGGATTTTTCACTATTTATCACAAATCATGCCATGATGAATAGTTAGTGCCTTGATTAACATTTGACTCAGCACTCACCATGATAATAGTTAAGCTATCCAAAGGTAATAATTTTTCTAAGAGTTAAATCATACATTTTTGAATTATAGGAAAATGTGTACTTTGCATAATACTGTGCCCCATGAAATGAGCCCCTACTGTTACCACCATCACTCATCCACAAGCAAAGTGGTTAGATAAAATCTATTTCCTCAGCAGAGGTATGATTATCCATGCATTTTCTGTTTTTCTTTTCAATACAGGCTGTTTGCCAAAACAATGGCTTTTTTTCATATAACATACCAAGTTGGTTTGGTACTACAAAATACGTGAAACCATTGGTTCAAAAACTCTGTGCTCATGAACGAATGCTATGCAGCAAGACTTGCTACAATTCAGTCAACATTGCTTTCCTGATAGACGGTTCCAGCAGTGTTGGTGATAGCAACTTTCGTCTCATGCTTGAATTCATCAGTAATGTTGCCAAATCATTTGAGATCACGGAGGTTGGTGCCAAAATAGCAGCAGTTCAGTTCACTTATGATCAGCGCACAGAGTTTGGCTTTACAGACTATAATACAAAAGAGATGGTTTTTTCTGGTCTTCGAGGAATCCGCTACATGAGTGGCGGTACTGCTACTGGAGAAGCCATTACCTACACTATCGTAAATGTGTTTGGACCCGTGAGAGATGGAGCCAACAAAAATTTCCTAGTCATTTTGACTGATGGCCAGTCTTATGATGATGTCCGAGGGCCAGCTACAGCTGCTCATAAAGCAGGTAAATAACGGACACTATCTGTATTCATAGGAATAACAACTCACCAGTTTTTAAAACCTAGGTGAATGACAGATGTTCATTACATGACAAGCAAGTTAGGTTATAAGTATTATAACCTAGGTTTTAAGTATTATATTCATTTAATTATTTAAAATATCTGTACCTTGCCTTCCTCCACAAGGCAACTATACAGTGTAACCAAGGGTGACTGAAATAGATTTCTCCCAAAGTATGTAAGAATTTTATGAGGCACAGGAGAAATGGTGGCTGGCATCCCATTCAATATTTATGTGTGCATGTGGAGCTCCACGTGAGGAAGCTGGCTGTGGACTCCAGGGTTGCTGGGAGTCCTCTAAGAATGTTTGTTTGTTTGTTTGTTTGTTTGTTTGTTTGTTTGTTTGTTTGTTTGTTTGTTTGTTTGTTTTTTTGTTTGTTTGTTTGTTTGTTTGTTTGTTTGTTTGTTTGTTTGTTTGTTTGTTTGTTTGTTTGTTTGTTTGTTTGTTTGTTTGTTTGTTTGTTTGTTTGTTTGTTTGTTTGTTTGTTTGTTTGTTTGTTTGTTTGTTTGTTTGTTTGTTTGTTTGTTTGTTTGTTTGTTTGTTTGTTTGTTTGTTTGTTTGTTTGTTTGTTTGTTTTTTCCCCCGCCCCTCTAGACCCCCTCTAGAATATGGGGAAATGTTCTGGAGGAATCATTTGGTGGATTTCGTCCCTTTTAAAAAGTGTTTCTTTAAATGAAACTGTTATTAAAAGCTGTTAAGATATTTAAATAATGGCCATACTATTATTGGTGTTTGTGAGGTTTGTGTAACTTGCCTTGGCTAATGATGTTCCTGGTCCTCTGCCTAACTGAGCAACCAACATGCACAAACCTTATGTAAATGCCAATAGGATTCAGGGAATTTTTTCATATAACATACCAAGTTGGTTTGGTACTACAAAATACGTGAAACCATTGGTTCAAAAACTCTGTGCTCATGAACGAATGCTATGCAGCAAGACTTGCTACAATTCAGTCAACATTGCTTTCCTGATAGACGGTTCCAGCAGTGTTGGTGATAGCAACTTTCGTCTCATGCTTGAATTCATCAGTAATGTTGCCAAATCATTTGAGATCACGGAGGTTGGTGCCAAAATAGCAGCAGTTCAGTTCACTTATGATCAGCGCACAGAGTTTGGCTTTACAGACTATAATACAAAAGAGATGGTTTTTTCTGGTCTTCGAGGAATCCGCTACATGAGTGGCGGTACTGCTACTGGAGAAGCCATTACCTACACTATCGTAAATGTGTTTGGACCCGTGAGAGATGGAGCCAACAAAAATTTCCTAGTCATTTTGACTGATGGCCAGTCTTATGATGATGTCCGAGGGCCAGCTACAGCTGCTCATAAAGCAGGTAAATAATGGACACTATCTGTATTCATAGGAATAACAACTCACCAGTTTTTAAAACCTAGGTGAATGACAGATGTTCATTACATGACAAGCAAGTTAGGTTATAAGTATTATAACCTAGGTTTTAAGTATTATATTCATTTAATTATTTAAAATATCTGTACCTTGCCTTCCTCCACAAGGCAACTATACAGTGTAACCAAGGGTGACTGAAATAGATTTCTCCCAAAGTATGTAAGAATTTTATGAGGCACAGGAGAAATGGTGGCTGGCATCCCATTCAATATTTATGTGTGCATGTGGAGCTCCACGTGAGGAAGCTGGCTGTGGACTCCAGGGTTGCTGGGAGTCCTCTAAGAATGTTTGTTTGTTTGTTTGTTTGTTTGTTTGTTTGTTTGTTTGTTTGTTTGTTTGTTTGTTTGTTTTTTACCCCGCCCCTCTAGACCCCCTCTAGAATATGGGGAAATGTTCTGGAGGAATCATTTGGTGGATTTCGTCCCTTTTAAAAAGTGTTTCTTTAAATGAAACTGTTATTAAAAGCTGTTAAGATATTTAAATAATGGCCATACTATTATTGGTGTTTGTGAGGTTTGTGTAACTTGCCTTGGCTAATGATGTTCCTGGTCCTCTGCCTAACTGAGCAACCAACATGCACAAACCTTATGTAAATGCCAATAGGATTCAGGGAATTGAGTAATATCAGTGAGTTATTTAAAAAGCTGCCCAGAGTAGATTCATCAAATCTAGATGGGCGGGGTAAAAGCCAGGAAACAAACAAATAAAAAGAGGAACGAAAGACCATTGAGTAACAAATAATAATATTCCAAGTTTGATTTTATGAATGAAAATGGCCTTGAAGTTCTTTTCATGTCTACTGTACTTGAACTCTAAAGAGGCCTTTAAACAGCCTTGCTTTTTGACCAATTTGTTGTAGGTATCACAGTCTTCTCTATTGGCATTGCTTGGGCTCCACTGGAAGATTTAAAAGATATGGCTTCTGAACCTCGGGAGGCACACACCTTCTTCACAAGAGAATTTACTGGACTGGAGCAGATTGTTCCTGATGTCACCAGAGCTATTTGCAGAGATTTCTTGAACTCCAAGCAGTGAATGAAAACCTGCAGATTTCTGCAAATGCACCAGGAAAGCCAAGGTGTTCTCTCTAGAATATAAGACTTTCTTTTATTCTAGCACCAGAGTCTTGACTTTGCTTAAGGCCCACTCTTTTAGGCAAAGTTCCTATTAAAATCAATGAACATTTTGCCTGAATCATTAGTAAGTAGAAAATTTGGCCTGAAGTTATAATTGTATATGTATATTTAATATTCCTCAGTTAAAGTGGTTCAAATCTTTTATTTAGGATTATTCCATATGTATTTTATGTATATATAGAAAATATACAGCTGCTCTTGGCATTAAATGCTATTATTAAGTCTCATCCCAAATTGAAAACAATCTGAGATAGATTCTATCAAGTGTAAAATGTCCTAGAATGGTGTCAACAGAGGTGAAAAGAATGTTATTGAGTATGTACCCTGTACCCAGGGTCTTATATTCATTTTTGCTCCAAAAAACACATTAGGGCTTATTTTCAGGGGATGTTTTACTTTTTGTCATGTACAACAATCTTTGTTTATTCAAATACAGTCATGTCATCTTATTCTGGTTGCTGCTCAGTGGTGGAGGGCGGGGTTTCTCTTAATTGGGCCTTATTTTTGGAGTGTGGCTTATATTAGCATCCTGAAAAATCATACTAGGGCTTATTTTCTGGTTATTTCTTATTTTAGGGGAAATAGGGTAGTTATCAAACATATTACCAACATTACATTTGTATACCAGGTACTAGTCCTTAAAGAGTTGCATGCAACCCAATAGTTAATCTGCAATACTTAGAGAGAAATGAATTCAAGTAAAATACCATATTAAAAGACTGTGCATTGAGTGTGCTTAAACTATTGTACAACAAAAAGCCCATCAACCTATTTTAATTTCAGAACGCCTTGGTTATAGAATGACCTCCTGGTTTTTTAAAAAAATAAATCCTAAATTGCTACTTCCATATTGTATTGCATGTTTGAAACTTCTGAAATCTGTTATGAAAAATGGTTTTGGTAGGAAGCTCTTAGCTTTATATTTAGCCCAATATATTTTTAATAAAGCTGACTCAATTTAAATCCAGGCACTTTAGACTGAATTCACAAAATATACATGGCAAGAATACCTAGTATTTTTCTACCTAGTTGTCCAGATTTTTGTTTAGTGTATATAACAATTCAAATGTTCTAATTAAAAATGGATTCTGTTCAGATTACTAGAATTTTGCTCATGGATATTTTTATATGGAAAATGCACCTTACTTATATAACAAACTGTTCTTACATGTTTTTAGGGACTCAAAGGTGTAGTATGATGTAATTCAATAAAGCAGCAGTTTTAAAAATGCAGCTATTCAGTATCATTAACTAATAAATTATCACATGACACAGAATGTCGTCACAATGTTTCTTTAAAAGACCAATACTATCAAACCCACTGAAACAGCATACAATGTAATCTTGATGAATTTGCTAGCTATATTCAAAACTGCAATAGGCGTTAGTTGTAGCAAAGGTTTTCCCTTTATATTCTATGAAATAATTTGATGAAATAATTTCAAAGATGAAAACTTATCTAATTTTTTTCCTGTTTTGAGAGTTGCAGAACCAGAAGAAATCGCTCCTCTGAGCATCAGTGTGCCTTTCAAAACTCTCTGGAACACACTGAGGTGTAAGACTGGGAATGGGACAGAGAACAGAAGGCTCATTGGCTGCTTAGATGATTTTGGCTTTAGAGAGGACTCCAGAGACCACTAGCAGCTGCATTGTCTACTGTTTCAAAAGTCCAGACCCATTATTAAAACATAAGCTGCACACCTTGTTTTAAAGGTACATCAAGCTTCTTAGAAGCTCCTAAATGCCATTCTTCTTTTCAGAAAATAATGAAACATATAATTAAGGAAGCATATCGGCCATGTGCTCACCTTCTCTGGCTTATGCTCTAATCCACACACAAAAGTGCGAAAATAAATGTATTCATTGGTAAGATTCTGCAAAAGCAAAATGTGCTGCTTATATATTGCCCAATAGTGCTTCAAGCACTCTATGGGCAGTTTACAATTTAATTATGTGGGTTACACATTCCTCCCCCAGCAAGTTGGGTATTCAGTTTACTGACCTCAGAAAGATGGAAGACTGAATCAGCCTTGAGTACTGTTGAGTTTGAATTCAAGTCATGAGCAGTCTTGATTGATTAAACTTACTTCCACGCTTTGCGATTTTTCCCCATAGGCCCCATTTCCCCCAGCTGACCGGTGGGGGTTTCAGAAGGACCACGGGGGAGGGCTCCCCCGCAGTCCTTCCAAAGCTCCCGCCGGTCAGCTGGGGGAAAATGCCGGCAGGCGCTTCGGAAGGAGGGTGGGGCAGCCTTCCCCCACCCTCCTGCCCGATCGTCGGCCAAAAAAGCTGGCGTGCACTCGGGAGGAGGGCGCGGGAGCCTTCCCCCGCCCTCCTGGCCAAGCGCCGGCCCCATTTGCGGCCAGCTGATCGGCGGCTCCAAAATGGCCGCCACAACCATTTTCGCGCGATTTCCTCACTTACCGAGGGCGCGAAAATGGCAGCGCTATGGACGATTTTCGCAGAACGGAGACTTTTCACCCCATAGGAATGCATTAAACAAAGTTTAATGTATTTCTATGGAGTTTTCCCACCCACACTGCGATATTTCCAGATAGCAACGATTAATCCAGAACGGATTAACGTCGCTATGCAGGGCACCACTGTACTGCTAACTAAAGGAGCCACTGCACAATTTGACTATGTCGTGTCAAGTTTCGTGTGGCTTCATGATATTAATCTGCAGGTATTTGGGAAATATGGCAATTTTCTAACAAACCTTATCTAAAGGTGAACAAATAAAACAAAATTGTAGGCAAAGCTATAATATAGGGTAACATTATGTGTAATGAAAATGCTTAAGTTTCCTCAACTGGTGAAACATATTTATACTTGATTAAACTTACTTCCACGGTCAGAAATTTATATCCATGCTCCTCATCCAAAGAGAAGTGCAGGGCAACAAAAGCATCAGAGCTGTTTCTACTGTAGTTGTGCAGAAGTGCAAAACCATTTCTGTTTTTGCTTTAATAAAAGCAAATTTACAAGGACTTTTGATTCTGAAAATATACTGGAAAACACAAAGGCCAATGCCTAACAAAAGCCCAGAAAGTCCAAGAAGATACATTTCTTAGTGATTGGGAAATTTCTGTGGGCCATCTCCTCCCAGCCGTCACTACTCAGAATTATGCAAAATAAATCATGTATGCTGGTTTAATCTGAATAAACTTGCTTTTTGGTTTTCTTTTTCCCCATTTTGATGGGTCTTGTAGGGTTTATTTGCTTTTTGGGGTTCCCCCCCATTTCCGATGGGTCTTACAGGGTTTGTTTGCTTTTTGTTTTGTTTTTTTTTTGCATTTCCGAAGGATCCTGCAGTGTCTGTTTGCTTTTTGTTTGTTTTTTTTAATTTCTGAAGGGTCTTGCATGGTTTGCTTGCTTTTCTTTTTTCCTTCTGCTGGAATGGATTAATTGCGTTTCCGAGGGGTCTAGCAATGTTGTGTTTTATTTTGTTTTTTGGTGATTTTTTCCTTTGGTCGGAACAGATTAATTGCATTTCAATGCATTCCTATGGGAAATGGGGCTTTGACTTACAACCATTTTGAGTTACAACTGGAGTTCCGAAACCAATCAAGTTTGTAAGTCGAGGCACCACTGTACTGGTCAGATGTTTACCATAAATTGAAGAGTATGATAAATTTATTCGATGTAGTGTATATTAAAACAATTAATTACTTAGGTCCTCTTTACGTACTGCTACATATATGTAGACTCCCTATAAAGCTCATAGGAAGGCAACTAGTGGCAAAAGCATGTCTGAAGCATGAAACATTCTCACAACAGTGCATCAAGGAAGTGGTAATAGAATGCACCAGTCAACCCAATCATGCCTACAGTATTTTACCAAAATGCTGAATAGAAATGTAAAGGAAGCAGATAATATTCTTTCATTTATTTATTTATTTAATTTATTAGATTTCAGTGCATTTCCTGCTGACCTGTGTGCTGTTGCTGGAAAAAGGGACTTATACCTTTTGTAGTCAATTCTTTTGTTTAAAATGTTGTAAATTTATACAATAATTAAAAGTGTATTTTCTGTAGGGTTTTTTGCATCAGGGCAACAACAGTCTACATAAAATACACTTTAAATTATTAAAGCATGCATTTATCAAACAGAATATATTAACAAGCATTTGTAATCCTATGAAGTAAATTTCCTACATTTGCAAAGGTTGTACTAGATTAAAATTGGGATTCCTTTGGATGCTGTGATTTTATAAAGAGCCATTACTATTTCCTGTCTCCAGATATTTGTATAAAGTGAAGCTGTTCAGGCTTAAGATTTATAATTAGAGCTTTTTGATTTCTTGAATAGGTGTGATCTTTCCAAATATTTTCTCCCAAACTCTAATAGCATATTTTGCTAACTTAAGAACTGAATCCACTGATTTACTTACTCACCTCTATATCCACCTAATGGAAAACATGCTCATTTAAAAGGCACAGTATATGCATGGAGGTGAAACATAATTCTGATACAAGGGGGTGCTGATAAGTATTGAGCATTTCCCAGAAAATATTGTTAGGAGGCTGTAACTGCCACACTATTCTACATATCCCCCCAGGAAGTCAATGCACTTTCAACATCTGTCCTGCAGCTTAAGCCCCTGCAAATAAAATTCTTCCGACTGCTGGTGTAACCACTCATTTGCAGCATTAGTTGCCTCCAGAATGCTCCCAAATCGTTGTCCCTTTAGGTGTTTTTTGAGTTTGGGGAACAGATAATATTCAGGAGCCAGGTTGGGAGAATAGGGTGGATGGTGCATCACTTGAAAGCCTAAGGATGTCAGTTTTGCCATTGTTTCATCTGCAGTGTGTGACGAGGCGTTGTCATGCAACAGAATGAGAACTTTGGAGAGCTTTCAACGTTTTTCCTTGATGTTTTGCCTCAACTTCATTAATAAAGTACAGTAATATTTTGCATTGATGGTTGAACCCTGTTGGAGGTAGTCCATCAGCAGAACTCCCTTCTTATCCCAAAAAACTGTTGGCATTTGCTTCTGCACCAATCTTTGCACTCGGAACTTCTTTGGCCTGGGGGAACCACTGTGCCTCCATTCCTTAGACTGTTCCTTTGTCTCAGGATCATAACAGTAGATCCATGTCTCATCACCAGTTACCAGTTTGCCCAGGAAATCTGACTCATTTCTTGCAAAATGTTCCAAAACAGCCACCAATGACCACACGTTTCCTCTTTTGTTCGGTTGTCAAAAGTTTGGGGATCTACTTTGCTGCCAGCTTTTTCATTTCCATGTCGTTGTAGATAATGGCACCAATTCTCTCACGTGATATTCTCAGATTTATAGCAATACTTTTGGCTGATAT